GTCGTGTCACCTCTCCTACTCTCCGACTCTTGACTCATCATATTTCAGTGGGTTGCTTCACCGAGTGAAATGGCCTGTACCTGAGGATGGCTCTTGTCGCGTGTAACAACATCACCACCGTAGCTCGCACACGTTAATTTATAAATTGCTTGGACTCGGAGGAAAGGCTCCTTGAATGTAGACGCGCTCGAATCATTAGCTCCTTTTCCAACGCTTCTAACCACCACATGCGGCCCTGAAGTGTTCGATTCGTGCAGGAATTTGTTGTCTCGTTGCGGATGTGATCTTTTTCCGATTTCTTTCCCTCTTAGACCCTCCTGGATTAGGCTTCCATTGAGATGGCAAGGAGGAACCCAGCACTGGAAGAGGGAGGTGGAGGATGTGGCTCTCAAGACTGATTGTTCGTGTACAGCCCTCTCATCAGCCAGTTCTGAGATGGTCTTTTGCAAAGATATATACGACGTGATATCGGGATGTTGTGTGCTTTGCGTATCTGCTTGGAATGCCCTCTTGGGGTGCGGCTCTCTCGAATGCGACGTCCTTCCTCGGGAACGACGTCCCGCTTGCCTGCCTCTTCGCAGAGACTCAAGCTCGAGATTTATTCCCTTCCACCTTTGGCAGCGCACCCCATTTTAAAGTAATAAGAACAACGTTGTAAGAACTCAGTCGGCGCAGTATAGGTGAAACGACTATATTGATAGTGTACCATACCTAAAGTAATAAGAACAACGTTGTAAGAACTATCGGGATAAGTAAGTAAAGTGCATATAGGTATATGAGTTAAGTAACATACCTCAGTCGGCGCAGTATAGGTGAAACGACTGAGGATGCGGGTGTAACTACTAGGTATATATACTGTCGGGATGAAGTATAGGAGCTCGGATAAAAGAAAGAGTCCGTAAGGAACGGTGTACAATATAGGTAATCAAGGCGGGAAAGAGTCGGGTAGCACGTGTCTCGTTCAACACATTTGGCTTAGGGAAGAAGTTTGCGAATCACGGCAAGGAGCGTTGAGAAGGGGCGGCGGGACGACTCTCACTGCGTCCGTACGTGCATGCCACATCACTCATCACTCATCACTGAAAAGGCCAGCTACAGTACGACTATCCTCGTAACCTAGCGGAACTGTACAAGGTGCCGGGTTCGACTCCTGGAGGTGAAATTGCTGCAAGTGTTTCTTTTGGTTGTGATCGGTGGATAAAAAACAAATCCGAGTGATTTTCTGCGCTCTTATTCACTGGAGGCGGGAGAAGGCGCATCTAGATTTTGCATTGGGCCGGTACTATACGCGGGTTTCCACTACGAAACATCATCCGTCCTTTGGTTTCTTTCCATACACTCGTGTTATCATGACGCTCTCGTCCTGCCAAGCTCTTTGCAGAAGCTAATGTTCTGTCTACATCATAGTCTAACGAGACAAGAATTAGTGCACACGTTCGATTCGTGTGGTGGTCTTGTCTTTCCTCCATGTGGCAGATTTTTCTGTGTTGCACCTACATTGCACCACTTTTTTATGCATATCGATTCTTTTGAACACGAATTTTTGATCTTTCTTCTGTGCCATGTTTGGAACGCAGAGCCAGTGGCTGTGTTTGGAATATTCTTGGTAAGCGACTATGCACCACGACGTTTTTCGTCTCGCCTGCTATGCTATACGTTAATCGTTTGACTGTGCTCTATTTCGAACGAGCGACAAGGTCTAATGTGACGTTCTACCCCGCGCTGTGCGGTCTCGCGAAGAAGACTGGTCCACGTCCACCAGTCGATGTTCTGATAACGGCTGATACTTACGCTGCGTGGGTCGCTGCCTAATGGCCTACTCAACAGCTGGGTGCTCCTATCGACTAGCGTACAAAGTATCCAATGTTTGATTCACGCGCACACCGTATCGAGACCCTGCCTGTATCGTAGGTCTAATCGACGACCGATCTTTTACAGTCGTTTGCCCTCATCACCATACTTTGGTTTAACTACCCCTCCTCTCGGGGAGATGCGGCAAGGTTTGGCCCAAGCGTAGGAGCTGTGACGGATGATAGGCGTGCAGGTCCAAGTGGTGTAGAGCGTGAAATTGGCACAGAAAGAACATTGGCCCTGCGCTTGGTACGAGACTTACTTTATGTGTCACTTTGGAATTCTGATGAGCTTCTAGGTTCACCGTCCTCTGACCCGGACGATTACCAGCATACTGAACAAACGACGCTTCCCGCCTAGGATGCTATGAGTCGCCGCCCATTGTTCGCGTATGACCGGCCCACTCATCAGCCCTGTTTTCTTCTTCACCGAATTCATCGACTTACAAGATTAATCTATGCCCCGAATATGACGTGTATGGATCGAGGGAATGAACATTCTTCCCGTCCCGCTTGTCCGTCCGCAGACCGTCCTTCCGCTTCCACCCACACTACTCCCGTCTATAGCCTACATGGTGGAACTGCCCTATAATGTACCAGGTTCGATATCTGGCCCGAGAGGTGAAATACTCGGATGCCTTCTTTCTTTTTGTGATACACAAATCCGCTCTGTGGCGTGCGCTCTACCTCCTCGCTTTTAGTTTGCTTTTGACACCCTCTCCGTACTACCGTCCTTGGCATTATTATTCTTCGTGACCTTCCTCGAGACCGCATAGTTCAGAAGTAAACATCTCATCCACAATTTAAACCAGCGACACGAGAGTCCGCCGGGTCAGTGCACACGTTCGATTCGTGTGGTGGACTTGTGATGTGAATATTCCCTTTTTTCTAACCTGTACCCTTGATTTGAGACTCTTTCCTTCACGAGTTGGTATCTATCACATGTAGCAGCGAAGCGAAATATATGTTTTTGAGAGTGTTCTTTTGGGGATGAGTATGGTTCAGCCAGTGGCTGTGCTAGGTATCCTCTTCCTCCCGTACACCATCATCAAGGAAATCGTTTGGCTATCCCTCCTTTCTAAGCAACGGGAAGATACAGCAAGGAGTGTTTTGGAGGTCGGCTAACAGGCGTGCAGCATGGAATTGGTGCAGAGGGAGCACGGTACCGGACTTGCTTCTGTGTCATTTTGGAACTCTGATAAACATCTAGGTTCATACCTGGACGATTACCGGCACGCTGAACAAATGAGTCTTCCCTTACACACGTCTGTGTGAGGTCCCCCGATTGGCAGAACCCCATTAAGTCGTTCCTAGGCGATCCGACGCAAGAGACGAGGAGCCTAGTTTCTGCTACATCCCCGCAGAAGATGTTCTCTCCATTAGTACGCGCCGCGCATCGAATATGACGTCCTTCCTCGAGAACGACCCGTCCCCGTTGGAGAGACAAGAATCCACCCGTCACCCATCCATCCCCACAAGCGACGTGTTCGCCCAAGAAACGACACGACACCCTGCCATCACTTTTATCTACCAGTTGCTGTCTCTCCGTCGTTCTATACCTCTTGGTCTTGCTCTCGGGCAGAAGAATCACGTCCCTCGCATGGATGCTCATCGACTCGAGTCGCTGAGAACAACGATGACGAGCAGTTCTTTGTTTTGGTCCGAAGTGCAGGAGACAGGGAGGAGACCCAAGTGGCGCAGAACGCGAGATTGGCGCAGCGAGAGCACTGTCCCGCGATGGAACGAGACTTACTTTCTGTGTTGCTTTGGAGCCTCTAGGTTCACGTTCAACGTTCGCACTCGGGCGGTTATCACTTCCTGCCTGCTGCCGTTGGCCTCTTCTCAGCCCCTTACGCACGTCTGGACGAGGTCCCCTTGCAAGTGAAACCCCATTGTCGCTCGCCTAGGCCGTATCCGCTCGTCCGAATAACGGGCGGAGAAGATGCCTGTGAGCGGACGCGACTTGGGTGCACGACATCCTAGGTCTATTTCTTTCACGGCAGCCCAAACCCTTCGGTTGCGTTTCATGTCGTGCTGCACCTGCTTCGACTTCAAACTTACTATTACCGAGAGCAGGGACGGAAATCTGACTCTTCGATACGCGACATAGTTGCAGTCTATCGTGGCCTATTGGGTATGCGTTCTGCACCAGGTTCGAGTCCTGGGGGTGAAATCATGAATTGCGACAGAGAACTATTTTTTGATGCTAGTAGGACTCGGTATGACATGTCCTCCGACTGTGATTCGTCGATTTTAGTGGGTTCCTTCGAGCTGAACGATGGCATGTAATTGAACATCACCATACCCTAGGCTCATGACTCGCGCACGTTCATTCATATATTATTTGGAAAGGCTCCTTGAATGTAGACGCGCTCGAATCATTAGCCCCTTTTCCGACACTTGGGAGTGCGGCCCGACACGTTCGACCCGTGCAGGGGGTTGTTGTTTTGTTGTAGCCTGCTGGCTGGTACAAGGTCCGCCTGGGTCGCTAGAAAAATGTGGCGGCCTGTAATGAGGACGAACAGATGTACTTGTCGCCATCCATTTGGAGTCTGTAGGCATGATACCCTCAGGCTAACACGCTGGGCTGGCCAGGACGCGACGTGCTTCACCCTGCAATGTGGACTTGTTCCCTGATGATGAGCGCGCGAGCACCGGTGGCTGGGATCGCTAAACTTCAGCGCTTCAGCCTTCGAGAGGGTTGATCAAAGAAACATTGAGCCTTGAAGTAAAAATTGATCTATTTGAACTAGACTTGAATGAGTCGACCCGGCCTCGAACTGAGAATTTTCCGCATGCGATAACCAACTTCGCCATCAAGCCAATAACCTTAATTTCTTCAAGTAGTTATAGACAATTACGTCCAGAAAGAACGGCGGTTCGTAGCCGAAAATCTGAACCCCGTCGTTGGTCGATGTTCCCGTACCGGCGGGTCTTCGAAGGCTGCTGGGGACGGAGCAAATGGAAAGTAAGGTAGTAGTTCGATGAGGACTTGTTCCCTGATGAGGCCGGTGTCGCATCAGGAGCAGCGGAACTAGGAGGCGTGGGTGCCGGTGGCTGGGATCGCTAAGCTGCAACGGTCAACCGTCGGGATGGTTGATGAAAGAAAATCGGGCCTTGGTGTAAAAAAAAAACAATGCAGGGCGCCTATGAGTCGACCCAGGTTCGAACTGGGAACTTTCCGTATACAAGACGTACACGATAACCAACTTCGCCATCAAGTAAGCTGGCAGCGACAGATAGCAAGCGGTAGTAGAACAGTAGCGAAGTGGTGTCGGGGTTTAAAAATCGCTTTGACTGCTACCAACACCGACTCTCCTCTCCTGTCTTTCTATTCAGCCTCAAAGCTATGGCGAGCATCGAATTGGAAGATCTAATCAAGCAATCAGTCACTCAGCTGAACCGCAAGCTCGCCGTCGAGAAAGAGCGCGATAATTGTATAATTTTGAGCTCGATGGGTTTTCACTGTTCAGAGAGGAAAGGCAATGGTATGCAAAACATTGGGCGAATAATTTGGTATGTCTCGTACAAACCTTTCCTTTGCGCCCCATATTCACGCTGCGTCAGCCCTGGTCCGAGTAATCCAACTCTTTCTTCGCATGTCTGCAGCTAGAGTTGAATTGTTGAGATACATTCTCATACGTGCGGAGCGTGGCCCAGAATGCGTGCTTGATTAGATCAATAATAAGGTGAGCTGCGATGGAGTTAATACTAAATTCTGCGGCTAACCAGCACCAGGGTATTTTTTGGCACTGCGTCACTATCGGCAGGCACTTCTCGCAAAGAACATTATACGGCACTCGGCAACTACCACGATAATTAGGACTGTCGCCCCAAGCACGAAAATCTTCATCGTAATGCTGTCGGGTACGAGGGAATGCGGGCAGTCTCCTCATTTACCGCACCCAACGAGATACAGTCTTTCTGAATAAGACGTGCTGCAGCAAACAAAACACAGTATTCCCCGAACATGGCATATCTCAATGTAGCCGCGACATCGCTATCTGGATCATTACGGGTGGAGGAATGGAAATGTACGTTCCCAGATTCTCGATTGCGACTCACGGTTGACTCTCTGACAGGTTCGGTCAGTTGATCGCCAAAGCCTTCCCTGCAAACGGAGTCAAGGTATATATCACTGAGCGAAGGCTGGACGTGCTAGAACAAGCCGCGACGTCAGTCACAGATCCATTGTCCCGTAAGCTACTGTTTTCTCAGCATGGTGATCGTTTCCGATGCGCCTACAGAATCCAGGTGGACATCAGACGAAGAAGTGGGGCCAAGCACATTGAAGAAGTCGGCGGAAAGAACGATATCCTCGTCAACAAGTTTGTGAGGCTGATATCTTCGCGCTCAACGTGATCACCCCGTTCGTCGTAATACGCGGCTTCCAATTACTCCTTTGACGAGAATCCCTCCCTCGAAGCACATCAACGTCAGCAGCGTGGCAGTAAAGATGAACACAATGAGCCAGCCCCATGAGCCTGGCATCTGTATGTGCCTTGTCTTTCTCTATATCTTATTTAAACCAATTTCATTTAGATTGCATACGTGCCGACGAAAGCTGCCTTGGTCGGGCTCTGGCAACGAGTTTTGCTGGGAGGAGTTACAGGCGCCTGGTCAGAGCAGTTGAGTGCTGAGGTTTTGGGGAAGTCAATCCCTTATCTTCGCCTGCGTCAGTTTCCCATCATCATGAGCAACCTCGACGGCGAGGTGATTTATGACCCTGGCGAAGCTCACGTTGATGGAACGGCCAGTCAAACCGGATACGTAGATGGGGAACGATGTCGGTGTTCCTGGCGCTCTCGATGGACACCTCCATGTTAGTGATAATGGTGGTATGATGAAAGTAGTGGCCTCGGAGGTGAACGACTTTTATTGGTACATACCTGGTGCATATTATGTCAGTTTACTGAAAAGGAAAAAGGTCGGGAGCTCAGTGCTCACGAGACGTGTGCGCGATCCTCAGAGTCATAGCGGGAAGACAATATCGAACTGCGCACATGAACATATGAACTCAGCAGAGCGTCCACCTAACCGTTATTCTTCGGAAGGTGGCTGCACTCTAGACTCGTCTAATCCGAAGGAATTGCCGCTTGTGAACCCGGGAACCGCATGCAGGCACATGAATCGCAATATGTTTTCCAACAAGAACATCATTCTTGTTCCATGAACAACAAGCGGCTGGATATACGTTAGGTAACATCAAGGATTCACCAGCGTAATTCCACCGTCAATGTTTAAGATCGTTCCGTTCGTATAATCCGACGCTGTCAGGTACACCGCCGCCATCCCTATCTCCGCCTCACTAGCAAGTCACATTAGTATCGCCTCTATTCCAGCACAGAAGGCACCCACGTCCCATGTCTCCTCGCTGGCACCAGCGCCGCTCCTCCAGGCAGCGGCTTAGTCTTCAGCGACTCCAACACCTCAGCGCTCGCCATCTGCGACGCAAACACCCCAGGCTCCAGCGCATTCACCCGAATCGGGATATCCCTCCCAGCAAAGCTCGTCCCCAAAACGAGGGTGAGCTTGTCCAAAGCGGCTTTCGTCGGGCCGTATGCGAGCTAAAACAGAAATGAGTCCAAGCTCGAAAGGATTTCCGGGGTTGCGTACGGATGCAAAGGGCGGCGCAAGGTTCAGCTTTGCTCCTGTGCTGCTGATGTTGATGATGCTTGAGGTACCTTGGGGGCGGGAACGCGCTCCTTTGATGAGGAGGGATTGGAAAGCACGTACGACGAAGAATGGGGCGATGGTGTTTAGCGCGAAGATGTCAGCCCAGTTCTGTAGGGTTTCGGGTTCGAAAGGATCTTCTGCGGCGCTTTTCTTTGCGATGAAGTCTGGGTCGCGAAGGGATGAAGCAAATCCGGCGCTATGAAGAGTTTAGTGTGTGGAGAAGGGGAACCAAGGGCATCATAAACGGACTTGTTGACGAGTATGTCGAGTTTGCCATCAATTCCTTCGATGTGCTGTACGCCAGCCTTGACACTGCCTTCGTCTGTCACATCCATCTGGAGTCTGTGAACGTGTTAACAGCGGATATCCTGGAGAAAGACGGTCGCTGACGGGAGAATGGATCCCGGGACACCGGTGACAGACGTAGCGGCTTTCTCCAGCACGTCAAGCCTTCGGCCAGTAATGTATACTTTGGCTCCGTTCGCAGCAAAAGCCTTAGCAATGCTAAATCCTCTGTCAAAGAGTCGTTGAACAGCGAGTGGCAACCGAAGGTCATAAGGCTTACATCCCTGTCCCTCCGCCTGTAACGAGAGCTACTCGACCAGAAAGAGACATTATCGTAGCCACATTGAGATCTGCCATGGTCCTGGAATACTGCTGTCTGGTCTTTGCGCACGGTCTCTTTTATTGCAGCATTCTTCGGTGTTATTCAGCGGAACTGTACCCTCCGTAAGTAATTGTTCTGGCAATGTACATTGTACATTGCCCGCGTTCCGCCAGTAGTCAGCAGTTGTGACAAAAATATCGGGCTCGGATAGCAACCGGCTCTTGTACGCTCGTGTCCAAAGAGGAATCTTCATACATTTCCGCACATGTGAGAAGTGCACGCGATTCGCTTGGAACTTCATTTGAAGATTTGTCCCCTGGATTAGCATAATGGGGTAGAACTTTGAGTTGTTCTTTAGATCTTTGGCATAAATGTGCGACCTACGGTAACTTAAAGTTTCAGCCAGCACATGCACAAAGACCATATCATTTACTGACCTTCCAATGACCCTGCCGTTCGATCAACGAGACCAAATCCCAGTATCGTCGCCTGACTTGCTGCTGCGCCATCACTACCGGTTTTCGACCCGGCCACTCAGCCCATTCGAGTCTCGACTTTGCCAAGGGAAGGCAGTTCTCTTTGATTTTGATCACCAACTGATGGCTTCGAACGGATGCACATGAACTTGAAACTGCTCTGGAGGTCCACCTATTACGTGCACGGTCGCTGGCGCGGTCCTGGAAGAGTCAGCGGAGAAAAACGAGCCCATAGAAGGATGTGCCGTGTGAAGACGTGTGTTCAACCTTTCCGCTATTCCCAAGATGACAGCCGTATAGCAAACTCGAGCAATTCGCAACTGAAACATCATCGTTGATCGTTCTTCCATTAAAAACAAGTGGCTAGATATAGGTTAGGAATCATCAGGGATTCACCAACGCAATTCCACCGTCAACGTTCAAGATTGCTCCGTTCGTATAATCCGACGCTGCCAAGTATACCGCCGTCATCCCCATCTCCGCGTCACTAGCAAGTCAGATTAGTATCACCTCTACTGCAGCACAGGAGGCACTCACGTCCCATGTCTCCTTGCTGGTATCGGTGCCACCGATCCAGGCACTGGTTTAGTTTTGAGCGCCTCCAAGAACTCAGCACTCGTCAACTGCGACGCAAACACCCCAGGCTCCAGCGCGTTCACCCGGATCGGGATATCCCTCCCAGCAAAACTCGTTCCCAAAACAAGGGTGAGCTTTTCCAAACCGGATTTCGTCGGGCCGTATGCGAGCTAGATAAGAGTGAGTCCAAGCTCGAAAGAATATGGGGGGTTACGTACGGATAGGAAGGGCCCCGAAACGTTCAACTTTGCTGCTGCGCTGCTGATGTTGATGACACTTGAGGTGCCTTGGGTGCGCGAATGCGCTCCTTTGATGAGGAGGGACTGGAAGGCGCGGACAACGAAGAATGGCGCGATGGTGTTGAGTGCGAAGATGTCGGCCCAGTTCTGTGCCGTCTCGGGTTCAAATGGATCTGCCAGCTGTGAATTTCTTCGTGATAAAGTCTGGGTCGCGAAGGGATCCGGCGAATCCGGCACTACAAAGAGGTTAGTGTATGGAGGGCCAGGAGGATCATAGACCAACTTGTTGACGAGTATGTCGAGCTTGCCGTCGATTCCTTCGATGTGCTGTGCGCCGGCCTTTAGGCTTTCTTCTTCTGTTACGTCCATCTGAAGTCTGTGGGCGCGTTAGTAGTGAATATCTTGGAGGAATGATTGATTACTAACGGGACGATGGATCCTGAGACGCCTGTGACAGACGCGGCAGGCTTCCTCCAACACGTTCAGCCTTCGGCCAGTAATGTATACTTTCGCTCCATTTGCAGCGAATGCTTTCGCGATGGTAAACCCTCTATTGAGAAATCAACCGTCAATCGTAATCGAGGATCACAAGACTTACATCCCCGTTCCTCCCCCTGTAACAAGGCCTACTCGTCCATCCAGCGACATTG